CTGTTACAATAGGAGCTGCAGTCCCAGTGCAGTAGACGTCACTAATCTCACGCTGCGTAACCTGGAGAAATCACATGGGCACAACGCGTTCTTTTAGGCCTCCACGCGAGAGCGACTGTGACGTCATCAACCGGCGACGGGAGGTGACGCAGTTTGTGCGGTCGGTGTGCTGGAAGCTGTGAAGCTCGAACTGTTTTCGCTTAGATCTCCGGACCTGGTTTGTTTATCTGACCACCCGAGAAGCAGAAAGAAGGGGAAGAGGTAAGAGATCGCTTCCTTTCGCTGGGGCGGAGAGTGTTTCAGTCCCCGGAGCGCTGCTGTAGAGGACTCTGCGGTTTCAGCCGAGTCTCTTAAGGTTGATGAGATGAGGGGTTTGTTGGGGCTCTGCTCTCTCTCAGATGTCTTTGGCGGACGAGCTGCTGGCGGACCTGGAGGAGGCTGGAGACGAGGGCGACGAGCCGGGTCTGTACCCGGGGGCAGAGGGGGCCGACGGAGCGGACAGCGATGGGGAGGGTGGGGCGGAAGGCCCGGGGGGGCTGGCTGACATCCCGGAGGAGATGGAGGTGGATTACAGCGGCACAGAGAGCGTCACCTCCATCGCCAAGCTGAGACACAGCAAGTCGGTGAGTCCCGCCTGTATCCGCCTGACTGCAGACTGCTCGGTGTGAGAGACAGTTAGTTCAGGGCTCGGTTTGTGTGTGAGAGAAAGACAGTTCAGGGCTCAGTGTCTCTCAGGCTGTGATTGACGAGGTGTGACTTGTGCTGTGAAATACCTCTGTTCTTTGTCTTTCTAGTTTGCAGAGATAATGGAGAAGATCAGTCAGTACATTGGTAACCAGCGCAAGACCTCAGAAGGTAAGAGCGAGTGGGTGGCGCCGGCGTGATGCTGTGCTGGCAAGTCTGTTCTGACCCGACTCTCCCTCCCTCTCTCACGCAGTCTCTGGGCCGGTGGAGGCCGACCCGGAATACAGGCTGATCGTGGACGCCAACAACCTGACCGTGGAGATCGACAACGAGCTCAGTGAGTGTCCGGCCTGCAGCCTTCCTCCCACGACTCTCAGCACAAAGGGGTGCCCACTGTTCGCAGTCCTGTGCGCTCTGT